ACAAGCAAGATGTCTGGCTCTCACAGACCTGTAACTACATCTTTAAGAGGCTCCTCTGACCTCCGCTCGTTACCTGTAGAAATGTAACCTTTTTGACCTTGTTATCAGTATAAAAGACACCTGTCCACAACGTCAAATAATCACACTCCAAACTCCACTATGGCCAAGACTAAAGAGTTGTTGAAGGACACCAGAAACAAAATTGTAGACCTGCACCAGGCTGGGAAGACTGAATCTGCAATAGGCAAGCAGCTTGGTGTGAAGAAATCAACTGTGGGAGCAATAATTAGAAAATGGAAGACATACAAGACCACTGATAATCTCCCTTGATCTGGGGCTCCATGCAAGATCCAAAATGGGGAAAAAAATCCAGAAAATCACATTGTCTGATTTTTAAAGAATTTATTTGCAAATCATGGTGGAAAATAAGTATTTGGTCACAAAATGGGGAAAAAAATCCAGAAAATCACATTGTCTGATTTTTAAAGAATTTATTTGCAAATCATGGTGGAAAATAAGTATTTGGTCAGATTTTTTTCCCCATTTTGTCTCTCATAGTTGAGGTATACCTATGATGAAAATTACAGGCCTCTCTCATCTTTTTAAGTGGGAGAACTTGCACAATTGGTGGCTGACTAAATACCTTTTTGCCCCACTGTATATCATTAATTACTCTAAAGTAATTAGAGTTTGTAGTCCTGTTTATTTGGTAACATTTGTGCTTCCAGTATTTCATTATTAAATATTATTATGATGTTATAGAGATCTATACGTTCTTCACATTTGAGAAGTGTAAATTATCTTTTACATGTAACGTGCTGCTTTTTATACAAATACAAAAAAGGCTGTGAGAGCCTTTTCTTTCAATTAAAATGTATGTAACTCTTTCCTTTTTAGCATTAAGAGAGAAATCCTTCCACTGGTAAAATCCCTTTGTCAGGATGTAGAATATGAAGTTCGTTCCTACATGTGTCGGCAGCTAGAGCTAATTGCTCAAGGAATAGGGTGAGAAAAGCTTGATAATTATTTATACAGTGTAAATAATTCCAATGAATAACAGTATTGATTTGCAGTAGATCACACTATTTCTAATCAGATTGATTTAATATGTTAGGGTGATGTCATATAATGCAAGTTTCCAAATCAATGACTCCAATGACAAGTGATTTCCTTGTATGAACAACCAACATGTATCAGATCTGTTAGGCAAAAACTTTCTTATTACTGCCAAGCATGCTTTTTCTTAATGGCAATTGTTAATAAATTCATGTTTGAATCCTGGTCTATTTCTCTTACAGCGAAGAGTAATGTGACATAATGATCAGAATGTCTGAGAAAATCTAGATTCAGATTCTCACTAAGCACCCTTGTGCACTTTCCCTGACTCACACCGCACCACTCCTGCACCCCCTCGCACCCTCACGCATCCTTCCTCGTACCCTTGTACATTTTCCCCAACCCTTCCCCACATCCCTGCACACCCTTTTGTTCCCTCCCTCACCCAACAGCAGCCATTCCCCCACCTGCTGGCCTGGGACTTGCAACTTCCTGCCAAATTCCCCACTGACTTTAGTTGTGGGAAGCCGGCGGGAAGTTGCCTCACCTAACAATCGTGGGATTCAGTTAACTATGGAAACCAGGACAGCAGGGATTGCTGTCACTAAGTGATGCAGTCACACTTTACTACCGCATTGCTTAGTGATGGAAATTTTGGTCCCAATTACCATTATAAGTTGAAGACTATCTATATAGTAAACACCTTAGAGAATAATAACAAAATTCAGGAGGATCTTGACAAGCTGTCACATTGAGCAGAAACCAGCAAGATGAATTTCAGCAGGGACAAATACAAAGTCCTGCATTTGGGTAGGAAAAATCAAAGGTATAAGTGAGGAGGAGGACCACCATACTGGACAGCAATACATGCAAAATGGATTTGGGTGGCTTGGCGGATCACAAGCTGAACTTGAGCTAGCAGTGTGAAGTATTGGGGGGAGATGGGTGGGGATAAGTTTGATAAATAAATAAAGTGGTAAATGCAGTTATAGGCTGTACCAACAGATATACAGGGTCAGGGTCAAGAGAAGTCATCATTTCTTAGTCAGGCTGCATCAACATACATTTCTGGGCACCCCATTTTTGGAAGGACACTGACAAACTGGAGGGTGTCTGGGGGAGACCAACCAAAATGACAGGGACCAGGAAGGAAATTGTATGAAGAATGGTTGGAGGCATTGGTATGTTTAGCCAGGAGAAGAGAAGACTGCAGAGAGACATGATAGCTTCTTCAGGTACCTGAACAACTGTTATGTAGAAGATGGAATAGAATTGTTTAGATTGTTCCGGAAGACAGAACAGTTGAATATAATTACAAGTAGATTTCAGTTGGATATCAGGAAAAATGTTCCAATGGTGAGAGCTACTTTAGCAATAGAACAGATTGCATTGGGAGGTGGTAGACTCTCCTCTGCTGGAGGTATTTAAATAGAGGCTGGATGGCCATTTGTTGGGGATACTGCAGTAATAGATTCTTGCACTGGCACTGGTTCAGCTGGATGATCTCCAGTCTTTACATTTTATGATTCTCTGATCTCTCTTCCATTTTATTCTGTTTGTAATCTCTACAGAATATTTAAATTATTTAGGACTGTATTCCTGAAGATTGCCTTAGATATCAATAAATGAATTAAAATTCCATGAGCTGGTGAGGTTACAATGTTATTAAAATAAACATCATTCCATTATTGATTTATGACCTAAGAAGTACTCCACTGTTAATTCCAAATAAATGCTTTCTTTGGATAAATAAATGAGGAGATTTATATGGGAAAATATGTCATATTGGATTTCATTGGCTAAATTGAGAATATCTTTTGAGGATGGTAGTTTTAATTTACTAGATTTTCAAAAGTATAATTGGCCTTATATTTTATCAGCTTTGTGGGTCTTGTTGAAATTTTTTTATTTATTTTCATAAAGGTCCTGACAATTGGTGGAGTTGACATATAAAAGAAAAGGTGTTTCATTTCAGGAAATGGGAGCAGTTGACATGTTTGGGCCCTGTTGGGTCATAGCTTGGAGTTTCAAGTTGAGGCCCATAAATATTTAACTTTATTGAAGAACTCTACTTTAAAAATAGGAGACAAAATGTACTATGGAAATTGTGGGCAGTATCTGGAATATATACTTTAAATCAATTACTTTGCAATGATTACTTTAAGGATTTTTCTTGACTTCAAACAAAATTATGTCTCCCTAATTCATAACAGTGGTAATATAATCAATTCAAACATGTTTCCATGGTTCAATATGGATTGGATGTTTTGGCTACTTCCAAGAAACATGAAGCACTTTCATCTTTAATGGAGTCAATGTCTGAAACTAAACCCACATCATATTTGTTTCAAAATCTGAAGAATAATTTCAGAGTTGATATTAATAACACAGCTCATAGATTAAAGAATTAGAAGATCTGATAATGGAACATCAATGATTGCGGGTCTTAAAAATGTCAAATTAGTTTCAGTGGATTTAAGGTTAAAAGTAATTTATCAATATATTTTATTTCAAGTCTGCTGCACACCCTAAAGAATGTATTTGAAAGGAAGGACATCAGATTTCGTTTGCTGGTGATGTAAAAAATTTGAGGCTTCTTGACTCATATTATTTGGTCTTTTGAATCATTGTCATCTTTTTGGAATATTTTAATGTGCATACATAGATTTATGGGGAAATATCTTAATGTTAAAGATGTTAAATTATGTCCCAAAACTTTGGAAACTGGCAATTTTTGAGGAGCTATGGTTATATTGGGCCTGGGGTGTTCTTAAGACAATTATTTTGAGAAATTGGAAAAATAGTATTATTCCTGATACTAAGGACTAGATTCAAGAAATGTGTAGTTTACAGGTAGTTGTCACTTTACAACCATAATTGGGGCTGGAATTTCCATTGCTAAGCGATGCGGTCATAAAGCTCAACATCATGTGACCGTACCACTTAGTGATGATAGTTCCAGCGGTCCCTGTTTATAGTCGTTAAGCAAGGACTGTTGTTAAGTGAGGACTTCACATGATTGTGACTTTCAACTCCCTGCTGGCTTTCTCATTGACTTTTCTTGTGGGAAGCTGGCAGGGAAGGTTGCAAATCGCAGTCATGTGACTGTGGGACACTGCAACAGTCGGAAATCCGGGCTGGTTGCTGAATACCCATATTGCAATCACATGACCACAGGGGTGCTGCAACAGCCAGAACATCAAGGACCAATTGTAATTACCACTTGTTCAGTGCCATCATAAGTTCGAATGGTTGCTGAATGAGTGGTCATTAAATGAGGACCACCTATATTTGTTTTTCAAAAAGGCTATTTTATTTGCTGATCAAAAATGATCCAATATGTTTCCCTTTGGAAGATTTCATAACGTTTTATAACAATAGAGTGTTATCATTTATTCTCTTTAAGTTAGATTTAGCAAGATATAACTCTTGTTTGGTATTTGGTGGATATGAGATATGTATATATAATTGTTTTTCTTTTTCCTTTTTGGGGGTAAAATTTGTTAGATAAGTATTTTTTTAAAAGTAGTTATTTAGGGTATATTTCTTTTATTTTTTTTCTTGCTTTTGAATGTAATATATTTTATTTTATATTTTCAAAGTAATTACCTATGATTTTGAACATGCAACATACGTTTTAAAGTAGAAAGTACAAGTTGTCTATTGCCTTTCTTTTCCATCTTACCTAAAATATAAATTTTATATCTTAGATACACTTCTTTCACCTATGGGACATATGCAGGATCTGGATCCGCTAAACACAATTTAAGATGCCTTTACACCCTAAATGGGTTAGGTCTTAACTGTTTTAGGAACTGTTTCTCTTGTTATTTCCTGTCTGGCTGCAAGAGAAGCCCTTCTGAAGATGTTCCCACTGTCATAGGTCTATTTTTCTAGAATGTAGGATAGGGCCTTCTCTGGCCCTGCTCTCAAGCTATGGAATTCACTCCTTGGGGAGTGTGTTTGGCCTATCACAGCATTTAGAAAATCTGTAAAGGTATACTTCTTTCACCTGGCTTTTAATTGCTAATTTATGTTTTCGACTTTGTAGATTCTGTTTTTGTTTTTGTTTTTTTTAATTTTATGAGATATCTGAATACTTGCTAGAATAGAAAGGAGGGATATACACTGAATAAATAAATTAAATCAATATTATTGAAAAAATGCTGGTTTGAATTGGAATTTGTGGCCATTAAGTGACCAAATTTAAAATATTTTAAAAATATTTTATTGCTTTTTAATTAATAACAAAAAGGAAAAAAACCCCACAAAAATAATAATACACGAGAAGAAGAAAGAAAACATTAAAAGGTGGCATTACAAAAAAGTGACAAAAATACAAGAACAAAAAATAAAATAAAAACTTAGTGTAATTAAGTAAATTACAGTATACAGTAAATAGTTACACTTCTATATTTATTTATCTAATGTAACTATTATTCAAATGCATGTATATTTCCAATACATTTATATAACTCTCATTTTTTGTAACCTACTGTATTTTGTGTCAATGAGCCCCATATTTCCTTATACTTTTCCATACAAAGTCTATGTCTATAGGCAATCTGCTCATAAGTGGCAAGTGCGATCAGGTCTTCAATCCACAGAGTGAATGGGGCCATATATTTATCTTTCCAATGTTGCAATATCAGTCTTTTGGCCATAGTAAGGGCACAGAGAATTCACTTACATTGTCCACATGTCAAATTCCATATAGTTCAAAAGAATATTATCCTCTAAACATTTTAGCTTTCGTTGCACAATCGTATTTATATAGTCCACTGCTTTCTCCCAAAACTTAGTTAGTATAGGACATTGTAAAAACATTTGCTTTAAAGAGGCATTGTCCTTATTACATCTCCAACAAAATACTGTTTTTGATGATCCTGTTCTATACAAATGTAATGGGGTCCAGTAAATTCTCAATATTATTTTTTGTTGTATAAGTCATAGTTTAAGATCCATTGACACTTGTTGCAGAAGATAAAACACTCTTTCGAGGTCTAGGTAATATAGAAGCTTCTGGTTCTTTATTCCACTCATCCCTTAACATCTGCATATCAAATTGCTTTATTGATAACAAATATCTATAAAAACTAATAGTAGATTTTTTAGTTCTAAAGTATTTAACAAGTTCTAGTATCTCAGGTATCTCAGAAACTGATAATGCTGCTGGTCCAAACAGTGTTGTTAACAAATGTTGTAGCTGTAAATATTGCCATTGGGATACCTCTGATAGATGATATTTATCTCTTAACACATCATATATTAAAAATTTATCTTCATCATCTATCAGTTGGTCTAGTGTCAATATCATCTTTTTCCCATTTTTAAAAGTTGGGATAAAGTCAATTTGGCATGGGAAAAAGGGTCAAATCTTTTTTTATTATTCAATATGTTCCATAGCTTTCTAACTGACAAAATTGTTTCCAGAGATATTAGAGTTCTGTTGTATGAGGATCCTAATACTGTCTATGCAACCAAGGGTGTTATAGATGTGTATTCCAATGTTGCCCAAATCAGAAAATTAACATCAATCGTTGGCTTCCAATATTTAATACTTGACAGTAGGTAAGCTTGATGATATAGCTCCAGATTCAGAAAACCAAATCCTCCCTCATTGATTGGTAATTGCATTTTCTGTAAAGATACTCTCGGAATTGAAGAACCCCATAAAATTTTTCTAAACAAAGAATTTATTTTCTGAAAATATTTTCCAGATATTTGAATAGCAATTCCTCTCAGAATATAAATTAATCTGGGAATGATATTCATTTTGAAAGCATTCACCTTTCCCCAAAGGGTGAAGTTTAATGATTCCCATCTATCCATATTTAAAGAAACCTCTTTACATATTTTATTTATATTAGATGTTACTAATTGATTTATATCTTTTGGTGTGCACATATCTAAATATTTAATAAATTCAGTACAAATACAAAATTGATATTTCTTAAATGGATGGGTAACCAAATTTACACCTACTAGCATCAGTTTCAATTTGGACCAATTAATAGAATATCCTGCTATTTTACTAAAGGTATTTATTATTTGCATCAACACTGGAATAGTAGTATGAGGTTTAGTAATAAACAAAAGAATATCATCTGCAAATAAAACCAATTTGTGTTCAACTAAATGTATTGCTTTTAATATAACTAAGTAGTAGAGGTTTTTTTTTAAAAAAATAATTCTGTATTCTTAGTAAGCTCACCAATTTTGTTTTAATTTTTTTTTTAATTGCTGTCTTGTGCATATGGGACATATGTATGCCCTCCACTCATGATCATATGCTATTTATTTCTTTAATATGTGGCACCCATCAGCTTTCTCTCTCTCTCTCTCTCTCTTTCTCTCTCTCCTTTGGAGGCTCAGCTATCATTACTCTTTCTTCAAACAGTTCCATTTTGGTTGTTCTGGGTGGGATTGAATCATGTTTTATAACTGAATATAAACTGAAAGTTATACTATCTGCTGCAAAAGATTGTTTCTTTGTAGCTGATAGTAATTATTATATAGTTCCTGAAAAACTACACAGAGAGAAATTTATTCCATTATAAAACTAGTGAAGTGACTGAATAAAATGATGCCAGTAATGCCATGGAAATGGGACCAAATATGGTTCCATTCTTGAGACGAGAGGTGTGCAAAATATTTCAAATTCAAAATGTTTCAAGCTCAAAACTTCCCATTTCATGTTGAAAATTAGCTATTTTGACCATTTCAGAAATATTTTGAGCATGAAATAGCTGTTTTAAGTTCAAAATTATTATAGCAACATTCAAGATTAAATATTACAAATTCAAAAATTATGGACACCTTTATTTGAAATGCTATAGTCAGCTGTTCCAGCAGAAAGCAAGTGTGTTTTGCCCCCATCCAAGGAGTATCTTTTGTACTGTAGTTTATATTTGGCAAAAATAAAATGTGGCAAAATAATGGGGAACACTTTTACATTATGCTGACATTGGTTGCATCCTCTCTTAACCCATTATAATTACCAGTATTTTGATAGCATTGAATACAGGTAGTCCTCACTTAACGACCATTCGTTTAGCAACTGTTCGAAGTTACGATGGCACTAAAGCTACTTAAGACCAGTCCTCATACTTATGATTGTTGCAGTGCTCCTGTGGTCACATGATTGTGATCTGGGTGCTTGGCAACCAGCTCGCACTTATGATGGTTGCAGCATCCTGGGGTCACATGATCGCCATTTGTGACCTTCCCAGCCAGCTCTGGGCAAGCAAAGTAAGTGGGGAACTCTGTGATTCACTTAACAACTACATGATTCACTTAATCACAGTGATTTGCTTAACGACCACTGCAAAAAATAAAATTGGGTGCGGTCACATGATACCTTGTTTAACGACCACCCCTCTTAACGATTAATTTTCTGGTCCCTATTGTGATAGTTAAGCAAGGACTACCTGTATACCAGTGCCTTGGTCTTGTTTTGTCATACAATTTACAAGAAAGTATGTCAAAAGAAAAAACAATAATCCTAAAGTACATTTCAATAAGAGCTACACAATTAAATATCAATGGCAAAAGAGTGTAATAGTTTTCTTGACTACCACAATAAGAAAATAATGAAACTACCTATTTATGACTAATATAGAATAGGATCTCTTAAAGAAAGGCAGATCCAAATCTCAGTCTCAGAGTTTTTCTGGCCTATATCATATGCAGCCAGTAGGAGGCTCTTTTTTGTAGTTGTGGTTCACTAAAAGTGCTGAGACTGTATGCTTTATCTGAGCAGTAATTGAAATTTTCATCCTATGCTAGTTAAGAGCTAAAGATTTCTCTTTGGTTTAAAGTTATTCCTAAACTGCAGTTTACTAGATTAATGGTGGAACTGACATATTGAGAGACATAGGTAAAAAAATAAGTTAGGTTTGAGCTTGCAGAATTAGAAATTTGTTTTTCTATCATCCTGATTGTTCCCTTGAGTTTCCAGGTGATGCCATAAGTCATGGTTTTCAATGAGCATTGGAATACACACACACACACACACACACACACACACATACACACACACAGGGTTCTGTCACATAAAAGGACTAATCCAGTTATTTCAAGGGAGGAGTAGATCTAGAAAAGCATCTTTTTCATGTGCTCTCATGTGTAACAGTTTACTGCTCTCACTAGAAAGCCAACAATTCTCTGACTTAACTGATGACAAATTAAGAACAAATCTCCACTGAAACCATTTAAATCATTCAAATTCTAACACACTAAATTTTGCTCTCAGTTGCACTGTTCTTGTGTATGAAATACTACTGTGTATGAAATACTGAGAAATTAAATGAAATAAACACTCTACTTAGTAGCTAGTCCCATTGATTTTAGTGGACTAATTCTTACTTGACTTGTGAATTCTACTCATGTTTAAATATGCACATTTTTCTGAAGAAATAGATTAGTGTAGTAGCTGACAATTATGGTTTATCTCCTACATGTTTGATGTTTCTTTTTTGTAGGACGGAGCTAACAAAAAATGTAGTGCTTCCAGAACTAGTAGAATTAGCAAGGGATGAAGGCAGCAGTGTGCGTCTTGCAGCTTTTGAAACATTGGTAAATCTGTTAGAAATGTTTGATGCAGGTAAGATTGATTTTAGCTCTGCAGCTGTTTCTCTATCTGTCATGATCTGTTTTCAACATGCTAATGCTCAATCATATGTTGATTGTATATCACCTTTCTAATCTTATCTTTTCTGTTTTTCAGATGATAGAAGTCAAACTGTTCTCCCATTAGTGAAATCATTCTGTGAAAAATCCTTTAAAGCAGATGAATCTATTCTGGTTTCATTATCTTTTCATTTAGGGAAGCTTTGTAATGGACTATATGGTATGACTAAAAAGTTCTCAATACAATTTTAAGGGTGCTGCATTTGTTTATATCTGGTTGGAAACATTTAACATTGCAATCCTGATTATGCTTACTTCTGGAATAAAGAGCATTTAATATCCAATTAAATATAATAAGGAAAATATTATTTAATTAAATGACATAATCTGCCACTTTTCCCCCAGATAATGTATGATATGATAGTATTGATATGAATTTTTAATCAGTATGTGCTTAAATGCGTAGTATAATAATAGAGTTAGAAAAATATATGATTTATCAACATTCATTTAAAACTCATTCAAATGGTTAAGAACAGAGTAAAATAGTATCTAAGCTGTTATTTCCTAGATATTTTTGAAAACTTTTTTCTAATGTCAGTACCCAAAACAAAATAGAGAAAGAAATATTGTGTTGTGGTGCTGCTAGGAATACTTGGAGTCAGTTTCTGTCATGTGAAAACTTCATTCACCTGAGCTTTAAGTACAAACCATAATTTTGCACTAGTGAGAATACCACACAAGACCCAAACAGTTTAAACTTGTACACAAGACCCAAACAGTTTAAATCGAAAGTGAGCTATTCATATCTTCGTATTTAGTTTCTTTCTATGACTTGTCAATAACTAACCAGAAAAAGGGAGAGAAAGGGATAGCACAGTGATGATGCTGACTCAGTGTGTGGCAGCACTGAAAAGGGCTTGGAAAAAAATTCCAATATTGTAATTACTTTATATAAACCTATGATATATCTGTATCTAGATGACTGTATACAATTATTGTCAATATGCTTGAAAAAAGCACAGAACAGGGCAACTAAAAATATTAGGAGGTTTAGCACCTGCCTTATGAAAAAGCCATTTTAGCTTGGAAAAATGCGACTGGGAGGAGACAATTGAAGTGTATAAAATCATGTAGGGGATGGAGAAAGTAGATAGGGAGTTTTTCTTCCTCTCTCAAAATAGTAGGATGTGATGCCTACAATGAAGCTGATTAGGAGATTTAAAATAGATAAAATACCTTTTGGGTCAGCTGCAGGAGTTGGGGCTGGGTGGCACAGTGTTGTACTGGTTCAGCTCCTTTCTCCAAGGCTGAACCCAATCGGTGTTGATAGGGAGCAAGAGGTCCAACCCACGGCCCCTACGCTTTGGGGTGCCTCAGGTTTCAGTGCTTTCACCGCTCCTATTTAACATCTACATGAAACCGTTGGGTGAGATCATCTGGCACCCTGGGATGAGGTATCATCAGTATGCTGATGATACCCAATTATACATCTCCATCCTGGGTGACCTAAGTGATACTGTGACTACCCTCTCACGGTGCCTGGAGGCTGTAGGGGCCTGGATGGGGGACAGCAGGCTTCGACTGAGCCCTGGTAAGACAGTGTGGCTGTGGGTATGGGGAGCCTCAAGATCTAGGAGTTTGTCATCTCTGGTTCTTGACAG